ATCTACCCAGAGGTAGAGAGTTTGACAAGCACACTTGTCTAATTCAGCGGTTCTTAACCAGGAGTTCTCGCACACCTTAGGGGTGCGATATTCCTTCCCAGGATACTGACTCATTAGGGTTGCTTAAATAAACTCTATAGTTTTTGGCGATCTGACATAAAAGGTTACATTCTAGAAATTTTACCAATTCTCATAATAGCGGAAATGCATACTTAGGGAAAAACGCAAGGAAATTACAGGTAAAACTGGCAAAGTTGGAAACACTGTAGTGTGCAGTTTGCTTTGATCCAGAGCAGAACTCCAACTCAAATATTGTTGAGATGTGGTTGCTCAAATGTGATGTTTAAATATTGTTGAATAGTTTTTGTGCTTACATATAATTATTTATGCGTGGGGGGTGGTGTAAATATTTATACATGTATATATTTAGCACCTTGTTAATGTTTTCAGAAAGGAATTTGAATTTTAAGAAAGTATGCATTAATTGCTGCTGGATTAGTTTATAAACTACGAAAGACAAGTTGATGTAAACTGAAGTTGTGAGATTTAATGTTTATTGCAATTTAGTTAGGAAATTGTTATTGATTGTTTTGATAAAGATTACCAAACGTAAAACTTTATAAAATATGGTAAATGTTCATTTAAAAATGGTATTGAAAAAGAACTATTAACATGATTCTCTTTAATCTGGGTTTTTGTAATACATTATTTTGTTGTCAGTTATGTGATTAAAGATTAAAGAAATACAATGATTTTGTTATTTACATATGAGATCAATATTGTTTTTGTCAATTCTAGAACGTGTCGGCAGAACTGGTTGGTGGTCTGAAAGGGGTTGCGCGAACTGGTAGGTGGTTTGAAAAGGGTTATAGGAACTGGTAGGTGGTTTGAAAAGGGTTATAGGAACTGGTAGGTGGTTTGAAAAGGGTTATAGGAACTGGTCAGTGGTTTGAAAAGGGTTATAGGAACTGGTAGGTGGTTTGAAAAGGGTTATAGGAACTGGTCGGTAGTTTGAAAAGGGTTATAGGAACTGGTAGGTGGTTTGAAAAGGGTTATAGGAACTGGTAGGTGGTTTGAAAAGGGTTATAGGAACAAGTCGGTGGTTTGAAAAGGGTTATAGGAACTGGTCGGTGGTTTGAAAAGGGTTATAGGAACAAGTCGGTGGTTTGAAAAGGGTTATAGGAACTGGTAGGTGGTTTGAAAAGGGTTATAGGAACTGGTAGGTGGTTTGAAAAGGGTTATAGGAACTGGTCAGTGGTTTGAAAAGGGTTATAGGAACTGGTAGGTGGTTTGAAAAGGGTTATAGGAACTGGTCAGTGGTTTGAAAAGGGTTATAGGAACAAGTCGGTGGTTTGAAAAGGGTTATAGGAACAAGTCGGTGGTTTGAAAAGGGTTATAGGAACTGGTCAAGGGTTTGAAAAGGGTTATAGGAACTGGTCAGTGGTTTGAAAAGGGTTATAGGAACTGGTAGGTGGTTTGAAAAGGGTTATAGGAACTGGTAGGTGGTTTGAAAAGGGTTATAGGAACTGGTCAGTGGTTTGAAAAGGGTTATAGGAACTGGTAGGTGGCTTGAAAAGGGTTATAGGAACTGGTAGGTAGTTTGAAAAGGGTTATAGGAACTGGTCAGTGGTTTGAAAAGGGTTATAGGAACTGGTAGGTGGTTTGAAAAGGGTTATAGGAACTGGTAGGTGGTTTGAAAAGTGTTATAGGAACTGGTAGGTGGTTTGAAAATGGTTATAGGAACTGGTCAGTGGTTTGAAAAGGGTTATAGGAACTGGTAGGTGGTTTGAAAAGGGTAGCGGGAACTGGTTGGGGTTTTTAAAAATGGGGTTGCGAGAACTGGTCAATGGTTTGAAATGGGCTGCGAGAACTGGTTGCTTGTTTGAAATGGGCTGCGAGAACTGGTCAATGGTTTGAAAGGGGTTGCGAGAACTGGTCAATAGTTTGAAAGGGGTTGCGAGAACTGGTCAATGGTTTGAAAGGGGTTGCGAGAACTGGTCAATGGTTTGAAAGCGGTTGCGAGAACTGGTCAATGGTTTGAAAGGGGTTGCGTGAACTGCTCTGTGTTTTGAAAGTGGTTGCGGGAACTGGCTGGTGTTTTGAAAAGAGTTGCGAGAAATGGTTGTTTGTTTGAAAGGGGACAAGGAGAAAGGTTAAGGATCATTGGTCTACTTCCAATCAAAATAAAAACTTGTTCAAAATGTGTTAAACCAGTTGTTATGTTTTAAAACTTCCTGAATCTTCTTCTCTTAGTCTGTCATCAAATTATTTCTTTGTGTTATAAATGTAAATATTCTTTTCCCCTTTTTATTCTAAATATATAAATATTTCGGCTTACGGTGATATTACGTTGGACATCGCTTGTAGTACGATCACCGAAGTTAAGCAACATCGACGCTAACATATATTTAGATACTAATAATTTATTTTGAGATAATAATTTACATTATTCGGATTATTGTCCTCATCTTTGTCGCCATATTTATTACAACGTCTCAGCCGTTGTACGCTCCGGCCTTCTTCAGGTGGTTGGATTGTCGAACTGAATCCTTTATTTCGCTCACTAATTCCACGTGCCATGTTTAGTGGATGTCAGTTATCAGATATCTCCTCTCCAAGTTCTCCACTGCCTTAACCGTGTATTGAACTCACACTCTTTGGGTTCTGTCACTGGATCTAACTAACGCCTTTATCCAATGTGTCCTTGTGTTCAGTGAGCAAAATAAAGGGTTCAGTTCGACATTCCAACCACCTGAAGAAGGCTGAAGTGTACAACGGCCGAAATGTTGTAATATGGCGACAAAGACCAGGGCAGTAGTTCGAATAATGTAAATAGTGTACATAATACCTCATTTCAGAAATATAGACAGATACTGAGAAAATAATTGTTTAGTATTACAGGTCTTACTAGTTAACCCATATCTTCGGGGAAGAGAGGGAAGTTCATACATTTCTCAAGCCTATTTTCGCGTAACTGAATACAACGAACGCAAATGGAATTGGAACACGGTTCTCCGATTGCCAATTCGGAGCCATTATTCAATACACCTACCGCACATCCAAGCTTACAGCACCCGGTATTCCCATGGGGTCACCCATCTAGGGACTGACCAGGCTCGACGTTGCTTAATTTTGATGATCGTAAGGGAGCCATTGTTTCAACGTGATATGGCCGTAAACCCTTTGAGAAAAGTATCAGTGGCAATCGGAATCTTTATTTTCTACAAAGAAATGTTAATACTATATTCACACGCACCCACAAAAGAAAACTTACGAAAGGTTGATAAACCGTAAAAAAGTTTTCCGCATTAAAAAAATGTTTTAGCAGCTAATGCTTAACAAAATGTGAAATAAATTTTCTGATTTATTTTGAGAATTAATGTCAGTAACAAAATGAGTATTAAATTACTATGTGATACCAGTCCACCTATATGGCTGTGTACACTGGACACTATCCTTAAAGATGTAGAAAAACCTGAAGCAACAGAAATGCAGTTCTACAGAAGGATACTGAAAATGTCATGGATCGAACATGTTAGCAACGACGAAGTTTTAGTCAATGCTACAATCTATACTCAAAAATGAAGAGAACTGAAGCAACAGAAATGTGGTTCTACAGAAGGATACTGAGAATGTCATGGACAAAACATGATAACAACGAAGAAGTTTTTAGAGAAAACTTATATTTAACATCATGAAGAGACAGGTGAAAATTTCTAGGGCACATCAGAAGGAAGGAGGGCTTGGAAAATCTGATACTCACAGGACAGATTGAAGGACAGAGAAAATCAGTGAATAACCGAACTAGCAAGCTTAAGTAAATGGATGGTAGAACAAGAAAAAAAATTATTAGGTGCTACAAAGGACAGGAAATTGTGAAGGACCATGAACACCTACGCCATGAAGGGTCATAGAAGAAGAAAAAATGATTTTAGACAAAATGACATTTGTCAGCTGCAAAAAGAAAAGAAGTCTTGGTTGTTAGTTTCACCAAAAAGTTTGGGTGGGTGGCTGAGGCATCTCAGTCCCCCCCCCTAGCGCCATGAAGGAATTATAGATGATGTTACACAAATGTCTTTCATTTGCTGCTTCACAAATGCGGGCTCTTTAGGCACGGTGGAGTAATGGATTGCGGCTTGGATTAAGGAATCGGAGAGACGAGTTCGAATTCCGGTCGAGTTCATGACATTCGCTTTCGTGCTAATACCCTTGGGAAAGGCATTAATCCATCTCTTCTGACCTGAAGAGGCATGGTAGAGTAATGGATTGCGGCTTGGATTGAGGAATCGGAGAGACGAGTTCGAATTCCAGTCGAGTTCATGACATTTGCTTTCGTGCTAATACCCTTGGGAAAGGCATGAATCCAACTCTTCTGGCCTGAAGAGGCACCGTGGAGTAATGTATTGCGGCTCGGATTGAGGAATCGGGGAGCCGAGTTCGAATTCCAGTCGAGTTCATTACATTCACTTACGTGCTAATAACCTTTGGAAAGGCATGAATCACTTCTCCCCTCCCCTAAATGAATCCATCTCTTCTTCCTCCCTAAATTGTGGTAGAAAAAAAAAACGTTTTTTTGGAGTACGAGTTGCATCCTGTTTTCTTTTCAATGGTTATCGGTTAGGCTAGAAGAGACGAGACGAGACGTGACTCGGCGTCTGATATCCTCTCTCTCATGCTCTTTTTTTATCGAGTGGCTGAGGCTCGAAAAGTTGCTTAAGTCACACATTCATCTCGCAAAATCTCTGTGCTCCGAGATCAATTTGTTCTTAAATAGCAGCTTTTGAATCCGCCATATTTTATTTTATTTTTCACGTGAGACCCGTCCGGGCGTGTTTTGTTTCAGAAGGTAAGCCGTTTTCTCTTCTACATAAATTAAAGGACAGATTGGGTTCTATAGCCTTGGATGGCTACCGGACTAGGAGAAAGAAAACTATGAATTCAAAACCGTACGTAGCCCTGGCAAAACACACAGTATGCAGCTAAGAAAAGGATCATTTGCATTGATTCGATGACCCTGACTACGGTCGGCTCGTTTTACTAATGGGCGGCGTAACTTTTGAGCCAAACTGTATATAAATCAAAGGAAGATTGGTAGCTTTTTTTCTGGACATTGTTAAGAAAAGATTTTGCTTCTCTAATGAACCCCATATTTATTAATCACGCTGAGTTCGTGCCAGGAAATGACGGTTAATATATTCAAAATATTAGGTAAAGATTTTTCTTTCTGAAATTACGTAATTTTTTCTCAGGTGTCTTTTTTCCTGAGAATCTCTGATAGATTTGGCAGCTGATAAATTGGAATTTGGAATAATACAAATTGTTCAAACGATTTTTTTTTAAAAAAAAGAATGTTCGGAGCAGAAATGCATAAAGAATAGATTTAGTCGTTCAAATTAGTCAGCGTCCTGGGTATAACGATAAACTACATATGGCAGCAAGGCTTTTGATTGGGAGGTTTGAGGAGCGTGGAACCACATCATAATTGCTATTTTCCCCAGGTCCCCTTGATTCGGGGTCGTAGCACCTGTTAGGGTCCCAGCTATGGACTCCCTGAATAGAGTATAAAAACTGAAAGTATAGATTTAAAAATATCTTCAAACGAATTAATCCTACAACTCTTAAAGACGGTCTTTAATCCTATAACACAGGTACATCACTCGCGAAGTTCCAACACCAGCAACAGCAAAAATGGATAGTACATGTTACTAGAAGAGAAAATAATTATATAGCCAAGCTGTCAACCAAATACAAAAGAAAAATGACGTTCTGGGTATGACGATATACTACATCCGGCAGCAAGGCCTTTCTTTGATTGAGGGGGGTGTTGTGCAGCGTGGAACCACCTCTTAATTGCTGTTGTCCCCAGGTTCACCCAGACCCGTGGTGGTAACACCTGTTAGGGACCCAGTTATGGACAAATAGTTAACCCTCAAAATGGGGTCAAAACACTATGAAAGGATAAAAATACATTTTTATACTAAAAATACCAGCAATATATTAAAAAAAAATACTACCAGCAATATATTTTTGTTAGGGGTAGCAGCATCTATTAGGGTCCTAGCTATGGGCAAATAGTTAATCAAAAAAAAAAAAAAAGAAATTAAGGCAAGGTGAAAAATGAAAGAAAGAAAGCAAAGAAAAGAAAAAGAAAGAAAAGCAAAGCGAAGAGAGTCCAGGTGAAGTCAAAGAAAGAAAGAAAAAAAGAAAGAGAGAAAGAAAGAGAGAAAGAAAGAAAGAAAGAAAGAAAGAAAGAAAAGAAAGAAAGAAAGAGAGAAAAGAAAGAAAAGAAAGAAAGAAAAAAGAAAGAAAGAAAGAAAGAAAGAAAGAGAGAAAAAGAGAAAGAAAGAGAGAGAGAGAGAAAGAAAGAAAGAAAGAAAGAAAGGAAAAGCGTAGAATGAAAGAAAGGCGAAGCGTAGAAAGAAACCGAGAACGAAAGAATGTCAAAGCGTAGAAAGAAAGAAAGAAAGAAAGAAAGAAAGAGAGAAAGAAAGAAAGACAGAAAGAAATAAAAAAGAAAGAGAGAAAGAAAGAAAGAAAGAGAGAAAAAGAGAAAGAGAGAAAGAGAGAAAAATGGAAAGAAATGGAATGCGTAGAATGAAAGAAAGGCGAAGCGTAGAAAGAAAGAAAGAAAAAGAGAAATAAAGATAGAGAGAAAGAAAGAAAGAAAGAAAGAAAGAAAGAAATAAAGAAAGAAAGAAAGAGAGATTTTTTTTTTACCAGAAATGAATACAAATTCTACAAACCTATCCTAGAAATCATGTCGGCCCATTGTGGTTGATATGCCATAAAACAAATCTAACCTAACCTAAACAATTCGTCGGTAATATAGTTCGCATTTAACCCTTTGAGCACTGACCACCGTTTTACCGGTGGTTGAGAAAAATGACGCAATGCCCATCCGGTGGGTAAAAACTTGTAACTATTTTTATATCTACCCTGAAACATTACATACCAATTATTTGCGAATTTTGACCCAGGATCTCAGGCAGGAGGTTTAAAATTGTTTAGGAACGCTGGGCTCAAAGTGTTGATACAACATTCATTAAAAAAATAGTAATAATAATTTGATCTCGGCTTAGCCACTCCCCCACCGCCATAACGTAGCTTCCCTGTGCATTTTCTATCGAGATGTACATAGAAATTGTTTTGATGAGCTTTCCTCTTTGGTACCTCGACTTTTAAGCGTAGTACTAAATTGGCAGCTACCAATTTAGTACTGTGATTAAATTAGTCTAATCATTTTACAGTTGAAATGGCTAGATGCAACCGTAAGTTCTATGCTAACAGTGTCTTCTCGTAATTCTCGTTTGTGGTACTCTCTTCCGGCTTCTTGCTTTCCAGTAAACTTTGATCTTCAAAAATACAAATGCAATGACAATCGTTATCTACTGTCTTCCTGATTACTCTTCTATTGCTCTCCCTCCTTCATAAAGTTTTATTTTTCTATTTCTTTCACAATCAGTAACCCTTTGTGTCTTAGTGGCTTTATTACCTTGCTTGGTGTGAAATGATTAAAATAAGGTGCAGTCTACTCCTGAGGATTTAATACAAGATTTGGTTGGATTTTCCCAGAAGATTATCCTGCACTGAAGAAGGTCAGAGGGTAAAACGCACTTAGACAAATTGTACATATAGGGAATAGTTAGGACTTCATAGAGACTTAGAGGTATTATGGTGACTGTAGTAAGAATGGTAAGTAAGAATATGTTCTTTTGGTTTAAGGAATACTGTGATATATTTCGGTTAGTAATCGTGGCTAGATAAGTTTAAGTTAAGACTGACTGAAGACCAGATGAGGACAAAAAATGGTGGCTTGTCCTCTCTAGTATATTCCCTCTATAGCATAAACTGTATTCATCGTAAATATTCATTGGGGTTTCTTTTTTAAATGTTGCTATTTTTTACCCCCTCCCACCGCACTCAGACAAATTGTACATATGGAAATTAGTTCGGACTTCATAGAGACTTAAGGTATTATGGTGACTGTAGTAAGAACGTGCTGTTTTGGTGTAAGGAATACTGTGTTATATTTGGGTCAGTAATCGTGGCTAGATAAGTTTAAAATAAGACAAATTGAAGAAAAGCTTTTCCCTAACCCTCTTTTGGCCTTGTGCCACATTTTTGTATTATCAAAATAAATATCACTTTCTTCTATGATATTCGTTTGGGTTTTATTCTCAAATGTTGTTATTTTTATTCTCCGCTGCACATTCAGACAAATTGTACATACGGAAACGAGTTAAGACTTCATAGAGACTTGAGGTATTATGGTGACTGTAGTAAGAATGGTAAGTAAGAATGTGCTATCTGTCTATATTTCTGAGATGAGGTATTGTAATTATTTACATTGTTCGGACTATTATTTTTATTGCCCAGTGGATGAAATAAAGGGTTCAGTTCAAAATTCCAATCACCCGAAGAAGACCGGGGCGTACAACGGCTGAAGCGTCGTTAACATGGAAATAAATATGAGAAGAACAGTCCGAACAATGTAAATATCAATAAGAATGTGTTGCTTTGCTATAAGGAACACTCTGGTATGCTTGTGTCAGTAATCGTGGCTAGTCATATTTAAGATAAGACAGTGTGAAGACCAATCTTCTCCGTTTCTCATTTTTGGCCTTGTGCCATATTTTCATATTATATCAAAATAAATATTACTTCCTTCTATGATACGTAGACTTTATGAGTTTAAACGCAATACTAGATTGGCAGATAGGTTTCATCATTTTACAGTAGAAATAGCTCGATCTTACCGTAAGTTCTATGCTAACAGTTTCTTTACTTACACTTCTCGTTTGTAGAATATTCTTCCGGTTCCATGTTTTCCAGCCAACTTTGATCTTCAAAAATTTAAATGCAATGTCAATCGTTATTTTCTGCCTTCTTAATTCCTGTTCTTTTATTGTTCTCGAGACTTAATAATCTTTTTCTTTTTTTATATTCTTTCACACTAAGTAACCACCTGCATCTTAGTGGTTTTATTGCCTTGAAATGATTAAAACAAATGTCTTTCTTGGACACAAACATAACATTTTAGGAACCATTTAAGAATCATGAGCACTAATTCTAACGCCAAACTTAACACCTCAAGTATTGGTAAAGTTCTTTAAATTCATCATAAAAATCGGTTGTATAAACTATATAAATTTTAATTTGGTTCGATATGAACTGGATAAAAAGTTGAAGAATTGTTACATTTTGGTTAAACTTAGCTGTTTCTTTTATTCTATGTACCACGCCCCTTCAGGACATAGGCAATCATGGCTCTCCACAACGTCCTATCTCGTGTGGCTCTTAGCAGTTTTTCTCCTTTTGCTAAGAACCCCGTTTCCTGTTCTGCCATCAATTCGCATAAGTTCGTCAGGCAAATAGTCGCTGCCTTCTCATATCTAGCCCCCAATATTCCTCGTGAGTGTTAAGTTTTCCAAGCCCTCCTTCCTCATTATGTGTCCAAGGAATTTCAGTTGTCTCTTCCTGATTCAGAGTAAAAGTGTTCTTTCTGTTGCTATTTTCTTTAAGACTTCATCGTTGCTTACTCTCTCTGTCCATGGAATTCTCAGTATCCTTCTGTAGAACCAAATTTCTGCTGCCTCCAGTTTTTACCCTCATCCATCGGAAGATTGTCAAACATTCACTTCCATATGAGAGGATGGATATCACATAGCCAAATAGAACTCTTTTCTTTCTAAAGAAATCGTTCAATTTCTCGGCAACTTGCTTAACTTTTGAAAATCCACTTTCGCTAGACAAATGGTAATGGTAATATTAGCCTTTTCCATACAAGGAAACCTTTGCCATTCATAGATCGAGTAGCCAGTACTGCTTTCAGTTGAAATTTATAAAATCTTTCTCTTAAAACAATTTCCAGGAAAACAGGTCTCTCAAGTCCAGTAGCGATTATCGCTCTTTCCATTATTGATATTAGCCGTTTCCCTGCAAGGAAATATTTGGCATTCATAGATCGAGCAGCCAGTACTGCTTTCAGTTGAAATTTATAAAATCTTTCTCATAAAACAATCTTTTAGGAAAATAGGTTTCTCAAGTCCAGTGGCTTTTATAGCTCTTTCTAGTATTGATGGGAGTTTCCTTTTGAACCTTTTATTTGAAGTGGTGTGGAATGTCAACATCTTGGTTATGTCATTATTGTCCTTTCGATTTACATGTGCTATCCATTTACCTTGTTGTCACGGTTGGAAATCCTCAGGTTAAGTGGTTTCTGTTATTTGGTACAGTTCTTTGTGATTCTGTAGCGCCAGTCCACAACATTCAAAGACGGATGACCTTTGCGAAGACCTTCAGGATTCACTCGCTCAAAGCCTTTTTTCACCATTGATTCTCAGAAAGAATTTACATATCTGGTTCGGATCTCAGTGTCGCATTCTCCATCCTCTGGTTAATTCTATAAATACAGTGCGTATTATAATCGAGAGATTTTGTTTTTATATAAATATATTTAATCAATATATTTTTATTGCGTATTATAGACGTTTGAAAAATCTATAGATGATTATTGAATTTAATGATATTTCTTATTTCTCTATAAAAAGCAGGATGTTTTGAATGTGTGTAACGAATGCACGGCCGCAATTCAATTTCGACGGATTTGCACCAAAATTTACATGCACATGCTCCAAGTTAGCAGGAAGGCCAAGACTGCTTTTGCATTTCCCAACACCCATCGATGTTGGAAATAATCGATTTTTTTCATGCTTCCACGGCAGTTTAAATGTTTTTGCGGCCATTTTTTACTAGCCAGAGTGAGAGCCTATAGCTGGCTGCCACGAATAAATTCTAAAGATTCTATTGGCCAGCGTAAGAGCCAACAGCTGAATTGACACGAATGTTAACTAGCATACTAACATTAAAAAAAAAAAAATTTAAAAAATCGATAGCTGAGTTGCTCATTCGTCACAAGTGGGAAAAAATTTAAATCTGCATTTTTTTTTACTCCAATTGTCTCATTCACTTGCTTAAACTCAACGTTGATTCTGATTCCGCAGAAATGGGTTAAATATATATGATTTTATTTGTTGTTAACATTATTTTTTCATTTGGTTTTTCCAGTTAAAATCCTTTTTTTAAAGCTGATCGTTTTGTGGTCATTTTGTTTAGTTCTTTTTCGTAACAGATTTAATTTTTAGTATTAGAACTTAGAAAAAATTCGCAGTCTTTGAGATAGGCAAAAAAAAGCATGTAGCAACATCAGCACGGCAAAAGGCACTTCTTTAAAGGCAATGAATCTAAAAAAATATTTTAAGTATTTGATAGCGATTGCTGTCTTGAGTATTACGATTTTTCAATCAAGCACGGGCAAACGGGCCATGCTGCTAATATAAAACATATGGCAATAATATATTTTTTTTTTTTTGCGTTGTTAAAAGCTGTTAAAAAAAAAATTAGAAATGGAGGAGAAAATGAAATTAAAATAATGAGGGTTGATCAGTTAGGGAATATGAAAGCGGGATGAAATGCTGATGATAGCATAAAAACGGTGGGTTTCATTATTTTATAAATTTGAAGTTTAGAGGGTAGATGGGGAAGAAAAGAAAAAGATATTTAAATGTTCGTTTAAGGAGAAAAACAAAAAGAGAATTGCTTTTTTTAGACTTACCATTTCTCTTGGACAAGATTCAGAACATCGAAAAAGAAAAAAAAAACCTGGTTGTTTAGGACAGAAAAGAGTTTTTTTTTCATTTGATTTAAAATGGAAAAGGAAAAGAATTGTGGGTGGGAGAAAAAAAAATTTACACCCGTGTAAATAAAAAGATGTCGGCGGGAATGTTAATTGGATGGTGGAAATTGCAATTCGGTTTTTAGAAGTTAGTTTCGATTTATCTCAAGCCCCGAGAACAGCATTTGCCAAATGCCACTCACAGGGGTCGAGGAATTTAGTGTTTGATATCGACAATAAGTAGAAAGATAATAAGAATGGAAACTGATGGTATGTTAAATTCGAAGACGTTAGATGAAGACAAAAGCACAGAAAACAAAATTTTTAACAATGATAAAAAAAATTACATATGTATGTATATATATATATATAGAGAGATAGATAGATAATATTAGTGTTCAATATATATAGATATAATGAAATGGACAAATTCCGACAATTATTTTAAGACATTTTTATGTTTATACATTTTTTTTATAGATACAAATTATTTAATTAAATGCTCTGTTTATAACAAAACAGTATTAAACCAACATTTACTGTTTTGAATAAAAGAAATTTTCACAGAAAAATATTCGTCCTCCGACAGGATTCGAACCTGTCTCCTATACGGAAAAAACATTTATCTTGACGTGCCTTTGAGGAGCACCACAGAGGAGCGTTTGGTTATAAGGTCGAATTTAAATTTTAAAATACAATCTTCCATGAATCTTTCACATACATTGATATGCTCAAAGCGTATCCAAATGTAAACAAATGTCTTTTCACAAATTATAGTTGGACAAAAAGAATAATCAATTTTTTAAAAAAAATTTTATGTTTATAAATTTCTTTTTAGATGTATAAAAATTTATTTAAAAATATTAAAATTTGATTAAAAAAACAAATTAAACAACATTTTTAATTTACTAAATTTAAATATTTTTTTTTAATGAAAAATTTTCGGACATTCAGTTATTTTAAATGTTTTTAATATGTATTTTTTATTATAAACAAACAAAACATTTAAATACAGATATTATACAAAGAAATTAAATTAAAAAAATAAAAAATATATATATATATATATATATATATAATAAATATATAAAAATCTAATGAGGATAGCTTAGAATCCATTAGAACTCAATGTCCAGGACAAATTAAGAATATAATATAAAAGGCTCAATTTTTTACTAATATTCCTTCTTTTTAATTTATTACATTGGAAAATCGTAATCACGATCCAAATCATCAGACCTACAAAATATATTATATATATATTGATGAAAAAAAGAAAATGATTACCATAAAAATAAATTTAATATTTTAAATTAGTTTTTATTAAAATAAATTAATATTTATATATATTTATATATATATATATATATAAAATATATATATATATATGTATAAATTTTAATTGTCTGCTTAAACACACTAATATTCCATGTTTAAAAAAAAAATTTATTCCATTGGAATATAAAATAAAAGATCTCAATTCAAATCATGAGAGAGTATTCAAAAGTTTTCAAAAAATAATCCCAAATCTGAAAATAAAAACAAAAAACAATTAGTATTAAAGATATTTCATTTCAATCATTTCACCGCAAGCAAGGCAATAAAACCGCTAAGACACATGGGGTTACTGAGTGTGAAAGAATATGATATATTTCATTTTTTTAAGCATTTCAGCCCAAGCAAAGTAGCAGTGACAGTAGCATTCAATTGGTTTAAGGGTTTAAAAGTGAATTCAGTTCATTTCGGGAAAAAAAGGAAAGGAAAAAAAAAGAAAGAACGAAGATCAAGGCAACAGGAGATGTCGATTGACGTTATGTTTAAATTTTTGAAGATTATACTTAGCAGGGAAGCAAATAAGAGGAAGGGAGTTCTACTGTCTGGAAGTGCAAGAGAAGACGCTGTTGAAGTAGAAGGAGTAGTTACATTTAATTGTTTCGGCATTAAATTTGTTGGACAAAGATGGCAACCTAGTAGCACGCTTAAATTCATACAGTTTGGTCACCAGTGAGTTTTTAAGCTCGCCAAGAGCAGATGTCAGAGAAAAATATATAAGACTTTAAATTAAGAGAAGCAACATTACGTCTTTGAGAAAATTTTGGAGTAAAGATATTCCAGGTCAGGATGATTACAAAATACATGACTTTGGATTTTGTCGAGAGTCTCTAAAAATATACAAAAGCCCAAATATAAAATGGCAAATGATTTGTATTCAATGCAAGGAGGAATGCTATACTTTAGATTTGATTTGGACTCAGACAAAAAAACTTACGGTAGATGCAGCTATTGATTCAATGTAGTTGTTCCGCCTCAGGTCATTGGAAAAATATAAAGACCAAGAAGGTGCATAGAGACGCTCTCGTGAAAAGCATCAGCCATTTGATAATCTTTGTATTGCCATTTTCACTATTTGGGTAAAAAAATATTAATGCCCCAGTCAACCACAGATTGGAGGTTCTTTTCAAGACCAACGGCCAGGTTAACTTCTTCAGCAATTTGCTGTTGAGACAGAAGTAAATGGTAGAGTCATCGGGCTTAGATGCCGACTTGGGAACTAGCTCTTATGTTAATGTTTTGGTTATGTAGCATTTGTGGTTAAAATTGTCAAATTGTTTTTTTCAAGCCCAAATTTTTTTTTTATATTCATTTTTCCTTTTTCCTGTACTAAATTTGATCCATGCGCCGATGTATTTGAAGTGTTTAGTACTTACTAATTCCACATCGTGAAAATTTTTGATAGATTCAGCATGTGCTATCACTGTTTAATCCTATTCAAAATAAAAAATTTAATATAATATTCCTTTGGATCATGTAGTTTGGGCAGCGCCCGGTTTCCATATACGATCGCTCAGGCCTGCGCTCTGGAGCACATCATTCTCGTCTCATCACCAAAGGATAAAATTTTTGCTAAAGGGCGAAAAACCTTTAAATCATGTTTCGGCCACAAATTTGCGGAAATTTGCGTTTATTTGGTTGTTTTGTTTTTATATTTACCAACACCTATATGGGTTATTGGTATAGCATACCTACAGACGATAATGGGTATGTCCTCATTCACATAAATACAGTAGTAAATACTGTATGTTGGTCTGCAGTTGGAGATTCGTCTCCAGCTGTGCTGGTCAAACTCTCTGCCTCTGGGCAGAGAGGATCCCCAGACGAGGCTATGTCGAAGGGCAGAGTCTCGTCTCGGGAAACAGCTACCCGACCCTGTTTTATACGGGGTCTACGGGGAATTTTTGGCCGAGCCTACGGGCTCGGATACCCCACATTAAATTCGGCCTTGTGCCACATCTGACCGCGTGGGGCGGTTGGTAGATATCCTGCAGTTGGAGATTCATTGTGGAATTCACTTGACTCACTTCTAGCAGTTTACTTCTTCTACGCGCCGCTGGCAAATCTTATATGTGTTGTTCTTGTCCTAAATATTATCGTTCATTACCAACCTTCGTTCGACCATTCTATTCAGTAACCTTTCCTAAGTTACAACTCTTCTGCTTATTTATAGCTGTAAATCTGTTGAATATTTTGAACCTGGATGCAAATTTAGAGTTGAAGTTTCGTTCATCATTGAATTTTTCTATAAATATTTAATTAGTGACTTGGTCTAACCCCAATTTTAAATTATTAATGGACACTGTCAAAATTCATTATGAACATTGAGGTTGGTGTTTTCCGAAAATATTACTTTTATGTTTATATATAATTTTCTTTAATTTCCTGGATGTCTCAACTAATATTTTTTTGAACAGAGAAAAGTAGGTAAATTAATAAAATTAAAACAAAAACACATAAACCTGTCTTTCTTGTATTGATTATCCAAACAAACATATCCATACTCTAAATATTTTTTTTTTGTCCTTCTTATTTCAGTTTATAATATAAAATTTTTTTTTTAATAAATTTTTAATTTGTTGTTATTTTGAATATATTATCAGAGATATTGGTTAAAATCAATTTTGAACAGCTTTCAAAAACATCACATAACAGTTAAGCAACATTAAATCTGGTCTGTCCATTCTGAATTTTTGGTGATGAATTTAATTTGTTCCTGAAAGCCGTTTGTAACCCAATATATATATTTTCCAATAGGAATATTTCGTAGAATATAAAAAAAAAGTTATGGTACAATACAAATATAAAAAGAAAATAAACAACACAACAAATAAATGTGGGTTTCATGGAGGTTGTTCAGAAATTATTCCGAAAGGGTTAACTCAGTTCAGCAATGTTGTTTGAGAAACCAAAATTTTGTTTGATAATTTAATTTGTTTAATATATGAGACATTCAAAAACTGAGGTTTTATATTTTATAATAAAATTATTACCTTATTGGGAATATCAGGTGCTGTAATCATGGATGTCCTGGTAGTGTAATGGATAAATTTTTAAATTGTTAATCAGGAGCCGAGTTAACATTCCTGTTGGGTTTGTTATATTCATTATATTCCATTTTGAAAATTCTTCTCCCCAGCTATAATTTAAATAGTAATCTATCTTTATATAAATTATTATCACCATATCTAAAAATTTTAGAATCTAAAAATATTTTAAATATTAAATAACCTATGTTATTAAATAAGCCATATCTATCGACACAAAAAATATAACATCCAGTCATCTTCCACCTGAACTGAAATCCATTATTATTTATAGAATTTCATAATCATCATCATTTGAAATATTTTATTTATCTATCCATATCTATCTATCTATCAGATGAGCTATTAATACCAGTTCCTCCACATATAAATTAAAGCCAGAGAGGTATTTAATCCTGTGTATTGTGTTTTATTTATTCAGTTTTTTTGAGCCAATATCTATCTAGGTCAAACCAAATTATGATATCCTCTAACTTGAAGGCTATTTTATAATATATCAGTTTCTTGAACTGAAATTCATTCCCAGTGGATAGACTATTAGATCCATAAACACATAGATCCATT